ACGTGGCTCATTGGATCACGTATCATGGTGTACCATATACCATAACAGCAGATCGCGGTGCGCAATTAGGATCGACGCTCTTTCGAAAGTTAAACAATACTCTCGGAACCAAGAGAACAAGAACATCAGCACAATTCATCAGCATAGGAGATAGTCGCATTTTCCCCTGTTAGCCCAAAACATCTTTGATGGCACTTTGAGATCCTACCCGTTGGACGGAAACACTACTAGGTCCCCGAACGACACATTAAGCTGATATAATTAAAGCGAGTATAAGCTTCTACGTTAAACGTTCCGGTGTTCCTCGTTCAACTAATCAAATCTAACGCTGTAGATTTTTCAAAATGTATTTCGTAAATACCAGGATTTTAGTTTAAATTTTCTAGGGTATTCATCCCGATATCTCACAAGCTACATAGCACAGCCTAGTCCAGAAAAGTACCAGACGCGTTTCACTATATTGGGGCTCGTCATTGGTGCGAATTTCCTCGGTTCTCTAATAAGTTTTGAAACCATGACCGTGAGAGACAGATGCAAACCACCCAGCAGCTTAAGCCATTGATCATTAGGGAATGTTGGCTGAGCTACATACTTTGCAAACTAACTGGTATGTAGCACCACAAATCTTCCACTATTCCTGACAGTGGCTATACTGCGAGCTGATGGCGTCCTCCCACTAGACGTTAAATCCATAGCATTTGTCACTAGGATAGGCTATTTATTTTTATAGTACACAAGTAGCAAGATATTAGTTACAATTTTTCTAAGGTATTCACCCTGATAATTTACAGGCTACATAGCCCAGCATAGTCCGGAAAATCATCAGACGCCTTTTGCCCTATTAGGCTCGTTAGTGGTGCGGATTCCCTAGGTCCTCTGATGAGGATCCAACACATGACTGCTAGAGGCAGATGCCAACTAGCCAGCTGGGGGACGTTGGCCGGGCTACATAATTTGAAAACTAACTGAGATAAAGCACCACACATCTTGCACTGTCGATGACAACGGCTAGGCTGCGAACTGATGACGTCCTCCCACTAGAAGCTAAATCCATAGCGTTTGAAACTAGGAAAGGTTTTTTGTTTTATTTTACTCGGAAGTCGTCAGATTTAGGTTGTAATTTTTTAAGGTAATCTTCCTGATAATTAACAAGCTACATAGCACAGCCTACGTTCATCTATGCGTATACTGCATTTCACCACCACATGTGCACAAATTAACAATAGTTACATACGTGAAAAGCTGACAACTTGTTCACACGTGTAATAACGAAATGACACCATACGCCAGCCACTACGGCTATCGTACGAAGGATCATTTGAACTGACCTCTGGAGCAGAAAACACTATAAGTTAAATAGAAATGGTAATATTGATGTGGTTTCTGTAAACCGCCTTAATCCAGCGTATGTAGTATGACATTGCGAAAAGCAGTCAACAGGTGCTACAATACGTACATAGTAGTCATCTAACTCGTAGAATGCGACCTACGACTGTTAATATCTAAAGTTGTGTCACAAGTGGACATTACTACACGGCAGTCACGGTCCGGAATAAGAATCCATTATCCAGACTGCTTATTGCATTATGCCTCTTGGAAATAACAAGTTGTGTTTATCACTTGGCTTTATTGCTTGCACCCAGTTTGCTTCCGCTTAATGTTCTTCAGGTTCTGGCAGGATGCGAGAGAACGTGGCTAATTAAACGATGAAGAATAACAGGAATCGATTCATAATAACGTTGCATTCACCATCTTCACTATGCTCCTAAACGTTTCCTTGTACCTTAAGCACAGAATTATATCCTTCATGCGCAGACCAATCGGTCACTAGCAACTGAATCCTCCTTAAATTAGACATGTACAAATTGTGAATGGATTTTGCTTCTAGCTTCCAGGATTGTGAGTGCAAAACGGCGCAGACCAGTCTGGCGGTAGAAGAAACAATTTAAAAATTAATACAGTTGGATCGTAGAAATTCGGACGGACTTGCTCATTTTATCGGTGTTACCTGTCTAAATCAACGTTCCACAGCTCTCCTTGATTCACAACTTATTAGAGGATGCAGAGTACCGCACCACATATCCTTCCTCTGTTTGATTTAAGCACTAACTTTCTTTCGTTCGTGTCGAGCTGCGATTTCTCTGATTTCCTTGTGCATCCAAGGTTCTACACACACTAAATATTTATATTGCACGGGACCAGAATTATGCAGTCTTAATTGCGTAACTATGGGTTTTTTAAGCATGCCATTCGGTCTGATTTAGGTGTCACATTTACTCAAAAAGGCGGAAGGAAAGTGAGCGGCAGCATTTTAGTTTTCTTATGCTTTACTTCCATGGGCGTCAGCAATGTGTCCTTTTGGATGCAGCATTACATTTTTATTTTTCCCTAAAATTGCTTACCAAATCACTTAGCTCAGTCGAGGCTCGGTGAAGGTTTACAACGTATTTTGATATCTTAGTATTTACCCTTTTAAATAATTTGTTATTTCACCTATGATAAATCATTGGGCAATGATAGAAACAGTCGATAAAAAACAGGTACCAAAGTTATATACACGGAGTTTTCGAAATCGATATAGCGTCACTCTCAAGGTAACCGGATTCACAACCTTCAGCGTTATGATATCGTGAATGCATCATTAGAACAAGACGCTAAATTTTTGGAGATCGCCAAATGAAGTTTGTAGTCCGAAAATGTTTCCGAACAAATTCGAGTTAATTGACGCACGTGGGGTAATTGAGTCCTGCTTATCCTTATATTTTAGTGGCGAGCAAGAGAGAGCTACCACCACAAAATTTTACCCACCGCGTGTGCCGTTAAGTTATGGCAGATGAATCAAGGAATAGACGTTCATGAATTGCTTCAGCGCAACTCTTATGAGAACTTGAATTGCTCTGTGAGGAATGCGCTGTAACTCAATGTAGACGTATCCTTCTCTAGATCCGCCATCTCACGCCAACACCACTAGGCATGTGGCGCACGAATTAAATCACAGTTCCCAGTAGCTTTACCTCGGTTCGTTTCTCAGAAACATCTTGGTTGTTCCAATAAACCTCAGCCCACTTTATAATGAAATACGCAGCATGTTAGTCTCTTGTGAAGCGCACTCAGGAGCTAAGCTTTATCTATGTTCTCTCTGAAGTGCTATATTTCTATGCAAGAATATTCTGAATAATCTATTCCTGCTTTGCAAAATTAACAAGATCTAATTTGCACTGCATAAAAATCCGCTACAGCAAGCAATCAATGACAATATTTTGCGAAACCTCCAGTACCATGAACGACTGCATAATCCCGGAAAGGTTAGTGAAAACTACTGGCGACAAGGTTGGGACATATAATTAGTGTACACCATAATGAAAGGACCTAGTCATGTTTGGCGCTACTTTTGAAACCCAACGCAAAAACTAACCTGAAAGGCAGTAACTTGAATCTTAGTTAACAGTACAGTCGTATTAAGGGCCGACGTACATACTTCTCCTTCTAAGTCTGCCGAAGGTAAATGACTTTTCTAAACTCAGTTGTCTGAAACCCCACAATCATTTCCAACTAAATCGCTTTAACGTCAACTGAATACCAATCATCTTTTTACTTGAACGGATATCCTGGATTGTACTGAGACTTACTATTCTGTTTTGAATTGCAACTCATAGTGACCCATGTTAACACGGGCAGACGGGTGTGCAATCTGTTTTATTCGTAATATATATTGCGCAACAAAATTTGTTCTTTTCGAATGGTACCATCTCTATGAACTAATCCGATTTCTGTTTGTCAATACTCCATCGTTTAATCGAAGAGTATTTTATCTTCACTAATTTTGTAGTATTTGAAAGTGCAACTCCTATTATCAACCTGAGTGACATAACAAGTTCTGCATCTTTACCCATCATAAAATATTCTTCGATTTTTGCGGAAAACCATGTGCAATATTTCTAAAGCGGAGCTCGCGGTCTCTTTGTTTCCAAAACTTAATAATTGATTTTGTCAAAATCAAAGACTGTTCACAATTTGTCAACGTTTGCCTTATAATTTGGTTTAAAAGAGAAAAGAACTTATGTATAGTTGGGACCGATATTAACACGCACTGGTTAATGTGGTCTTAGGCATGTCCTCAGCTGGTCGATTCGCACAAGCAACACAATTATAGGCGGGACAAGAAGTAGATAGCTGGCATTTTGCAAAGATGATTAGGTCATGTAATTGACTATTCCAGGCGCAGTCATCATATCTACATTATGATTCAAACCTGGAACGCATATTCTGAATGAACGTGCTATGTATATTACATTTTACGGATGGCTGGTGTTGTGTAAGTTTTACGTCTATGAAAAGGCAGAGGAATTAAACATATCATAGAAAACCACCATCACGCCTACCCCCATCTCTTGAAACATAGCCGCAAAAGAAACTACAGAGACCACTAGCTGAAACCGGTCACTCAATACAGTTAACTGGAAAGCCGAGGTAATTATTGTTCTGTTCGAATTTTTCAACCCTGGAACGCTAGTTTGGTTTACGTCGATTCTGTGCTCACGTCACCAATTTTTAACCTACAACGCATCTGTACATTAAGCCACCTGTATTTCTTGAAATAAGTCTCGTCCATCGAGGGACGACAGGACGCAGACAAACTATGTGCACACGGACGCCAATTAGTCGAAACTATCGGATTTACTGTGTGTTAAAATAGGTTTTGAATGAGCCCACATATGTGAGTTTCCTTTTAATGTCACGTTTTTAGCTTGTATAGTTCACATAGATCATCTAGCGTGACTTATCAAGCTTTAGTTATTTATCTGTTGAATACTATTGTTTAATTGTGGTGTTCAGAAAAGCAGTTGGCAGATAAAAATGGTAATTCTGTTTTGTTTCCTAGTACGAATCAATGTAGCAACCCATTGAGAGGCACGCCTTTGCCGACAGTGAATACGGTTCGCAAGCTTCCCTGAGACTTAACCTGGCATTAAACAAATAAGGTGAGGGAATACAGCAACCTATATAAAAAGGAGGTACGACCTGTAGAATCTGAGCAAATCGCCCCCCCCCCCCCCCCCCCCCCCCCCCCCCCCTTCCCCCCCCCCCCCCCCCCCCCCCCCCCCATCGAAAAGAATTATACGTAATGAAATAGCACTAATGAGGACACATCCATTGGCTTTGGGCATATCTGCTAAACACCAGGCCGCACTTTTCTCCCATTGGGACTCGTTAGTATTGCACTTCATCCCTGATTGATTCGGAACCGGGTTCACCACTTTGCCGGCCCTTGCAGCTTGAGTCACTGTTCAGCAGAATATGCAACCACGCGAAGGGTGAGCGTAAAGGACTGTCAAGGTCTGCGATTTAAATGCGAAGAAAGGTGACGAAGGTTCTGGTAAATGAAAGTTGCGAGTAGTGAATCGGACAGAGCTGTCCCCAAGCCCAAAACTTTCGCACGAATGGCAAGTTAGCTAACTTAAATGTTACTACGACAATCTTTTACTTCAATCAAATTAGCTTCCCTGCACATCAGTGTTATATGTTTAGGTTTACAATACGAACTCACAGACTGCACCTATTCGTGTTATAAAATTTCAAGAATATCGAAGAGAAATAGAAATAGTTGGCAGTGCCATTTTCAACGAAGAAATAGACCAACTTGCACAAACTAGAACTCTGCGACACACCTTCTCGATTACAATATATCTACGCACCAAGAAATTGGATTTACAGATGTAAAGATATAAGAATCGCATATTTAAAAAAGCAAGCTGCATTGGGCTAAGCGGTAATACTTCAGCTTGGGGACTGATGCACAAAGTATTGAATTATGCATAAAAGTTGAATGTGTCACAGTGTAACGAAAAAATTGGCTGAATTATGAAAAGAAGCATTTTTGGGCTGGCAAAGAAGACGGTGTGGTGCACATACAAGTGATCATGACAGCGCTGAATAGAGACCGGATATTTGGGAATCTCTTTCGGAAAGTCGTTGTATAGAGTTTAGGCAGTAGGTCCAGTGAAACGTTCATAAAATTGGAACAAGATTTGCAAAGGTAAAAGGGATATCGTTGCAGCATGATCATTTGCACCTCATCTAGTAAGCCCTGTCATAAATTTTGCACAGGGAAGCAAATCAGAGATAAACGGGTATGTTACGGTTTGGCACAGGGTCTCGGCAAGCCGTCAGTGGAATAGGCCAGCAAATTACTTAAGTTAAAAATGTTAAATGTGGTACAGGTTCTAAGCAAAAGTAAACGGAATACAATGGAAAAACGCGATATAGTTATGATCAGCTAGCGAAAGATACATTTTATGTCATACGGTCTGTCAAAAGAATACATGCAGAAAACATGTCCATTAACTAAACAAACTGATGATACCTACGCAAATTCTGTGGTGGTAGGCCGACTAATTGGCCTCAGTTAATGGTGGTATTATAGTTCATTAGTTCACAAGTGAATGATGGGAAGGAAAATATATGTTGTCAAGGTCTAAAAGGATAGATATTAAAAGGCACTTAAATTAAACTTCACATTGATTGAACATGAAAAGTGTTGCAACTGTGGTTTAGACATAACACATTTCCACGCGGCTGTGTAGCAGGTCTCATTAAGATAAAAGTGTAATAGTCCTTAAAGCTTCACGATGTCGTATTAGTTAACCACGTGTGTGGGTACTGAACATTAGTGAGAACAAATTTACGAGTAAAAACACTTTCTCAATCCAATGGGGAGTGTTGCGTTACCAGTTTTAGAAGGTAACCATGACCTTGTTTATAAGACGCTGGGTCAGCATTGATGTAAATTGCTGCAATCCGTTATTTTTTATCCGGCATTTCACATTTACATCGCCATGCCGTCGGCATTCAGTGGAGTACATACCAAGCAAACAAAGGTGCCCTTTGTAAATTACACAGTATAGTCCACGCTTTCCTTGGTGGTACTGATTGAGGAAAATATACAAGACCTGCACTACGTATTCTACATAGGGACGAATATACTATTTTAACAACAAGGGTACTCGCCATCGCTAAATGTGTCAATAGCACGTCTCAAAACCCACAACTTCAAGTTAGACACATTTACTGATTTCCTAGATTACTTGTACTGTAATACTTATGCCTTGCTCGCTAATCATGAGTTGCAAATCGCCGTAGCCCAAAAGTAGTGTTGATGATGCAGGTGCTAATATGCACGGTTCAATGAGAGGTAGTTTCATACTGACCATTGTCTTCTCCCACCCGGATCGTTCTGAACATCCGCACGGTTGGATGCTGAGCGAATAGGTTCCCATTGTTTAGTATGATTTGCTAATATTTGGAACAGGGATATAACATTTTCTGGATGACCATTGATGTAGCTAAAATCATAAGCGGACAGCGGACAGATCCGTGTTGTTAACCGAACCAAACGCACAGACCATATGAATGAGAGACGGATATCCTAAACTTGTTTGTTCCTTTGATTCATTAACGTTACAACCTATTGTATCGTAAACTGCAGTCATGGGAAGAAGAAGGAAGCGATCGACTCTGTAGAATATCGGTAGCATTTCGTCAAATCTAGGCTCACTCAGACAGACGCCACAAGCCCGGAAAAACATTTACGCGCGTTTCATCCTTTCGGGAATCATTAGCAGTGCGCATTCCATCGGACCCTTGGTAGGGCTCGAAACCGCAACTCGACTGTTGCCAGTCCGTGGTTGAGACCACTGAGCTACGGGGGACGGCAACGAACATCGTGAATAAGTTACTAGATGTGATATAGCGCCGCTCACTATCCACTGACTTACACGTTACTGCCGTGCAGAGGACAGGGTAGCCCCTCACAAAGCAGCGAGCTTAACAAACTTAAGCCGCCAATTATCTTATGGCATTATAAGCAGTTTGTTCTGTGTACTGATTACAGAAGAGTAGTAGGGGGAGTTGAATGGTATAGGTAGAATTTCGTCACATCTGGGCTCACTCAGACAGACGCCACAATCCCAGGAAATGCATTGTACGCGCGTTTTATCCTTTCGGGAATCATCAGCAGTGCGCATTCCATCGGACCTTTGGTAGGGCTCAAAACCGCAACTCGACTGTTGCCAGTCCGTGGTTGAGACCACTGAGCTACGGGGGAAGGCAACGACCATCGTGAATAAGTTACTAGATGTGATATAGCGCCGCTCACTATCCACTGACTTACACTTTACTGCCGTGCAGAGGACAGGGTAGCCCCTCACCAAGCAGCGAGCTTAACAAACTTAAGCCGCCAATTATCTTAGGGCATTATAAGCAGTTTGTTCTGTGTACTGATTACAGAAGAGTAGTAGGGGGAGTGGAATTGTATAGGTAGGATTTCGTCACATCTGGGCTCACTCAGAGAGCCGCCACAAGCCCGATAAAGCACTACACGCGCGTTTCATCTTTTCGGGGACCGTCAGCAGTGCGCATTACATCGAAAAATTAATAGCGCTCGAAAGCGCAACTCGACTTTTGCCAGTCCGTGGATAGTGAGCGGCGCTATATCACATCTATGAACTTATTCACGATGTTCGTTGCCGTCCCCCGTAGCTCAGTGGTCTCAACCACGGACTGGCAACAGTCGAGTTGCGGTTTCGAGCCTTACCAAGGGTCCGATGGAATGCGCACTGCTGATGATTCCCGAAAGGATGAAACGCGCGTACAGTGCATTTCCGGGCTTGTGGCGTCTGTCTGAGTAAGCCTAGATGTGACGAAATCCTACCTATACCATTCAACTCTCCCTACTACTCTTCTGTAATCTCTGGGATATCTTAGAAATGTCTAAGCAAAACACAAACATAGGGATTCTTTCATGCGGTAGCCAAGTCCAAAAATCCCGGGACAAAAGCCCTTAGTAATGCGAGGTAGCTTGCTTTTGAAATCACGTTGCGCACCATAAATTATTTTCACATTTTCAACATATGATGTCCGTTCATCTACAATACCCGGTTCTATAACTTATGATGAAGCAGGTGGGAAACCAATAGATTGCTAGTCGGTAAGATCCGATCGGTTACCATCTTTGTATACCAGAAGGATGCTTCGAATTTTCTATTCAGATGGGGATATTTGTCCGTAAGGCAGACCCAAAAAATGGTTGCAGTTGATAAATGTACGGCTGGAGCAAAGTTTTTGTGTGCTTGTGGTTAGATCTTATGGAGTCCCGGGGCACGGTTTTTCCAGGCAGATGGTAATTTGCTTGTGACCCCTTGTTGATGTAAAGATGACACAGTGTAAGCCGACGAACTTCATTGGCAGTTGATGGGGCAAGGTTATGTGATATTTTTAGCTGATGTGCTAAACTGCAGGAGTTGTACGGCCGCGGTATCCAAGGAAGGTAGTAGGCCTTAGGAGACTGATAGCATTAAAATTTCTTTTTCCGTTCACACATTTGTATAGCCGTTTGCTGTTAATCATAAGCTTGTGTTTGAAAGTCTTCTCTCTCTCATACTTTTGTACTGTAATGAGTGACGTGCGGTAGTATGACATGGGCTTAGTACATGTTCCTTACAAGTCTCATCTCGTGTTTCTCAATGTACTTCATCTGATTCCTATTCATATATCGGTCCAGCGCGATTCTCTTTATTGCACTGCTGTAGAGGCTGCTTGTATGAAATTGCTAATTTTACTTTTTAAAACATTCCAGCTTATTGCGCGGAACCGTGCGGCTGGATGTTTTATTCAGCGATTGTCGTTAGATCGTTAAACTCGGAATGGTCTGTAATGCTTTGATGAGTTTCTGTTTCTTCATCAACAATGCTGACCTACCACAGATATAGCAATCTTATGACCGAACGGTCGCTATGGCACGGTAGATAGTCGTTTGCAAACTACGCAACCATCAATTCTTCATTAATCCGGAATGAATCCAGAATTGATGGCTTATCTGAACCGCAATGTCTGTTTAGATGATGCCCATTGTTTTACATATTTTGGTTTATCCATGAATTCAAGGTTATATTTTGAATGATAGCCCACTGGAGGACACTGATGCCATTGAACGCAAAATAAAGTTAGTAACCTTTGCAACGGCATAGTGGGGAGTGATTAATAGAACCTTATCACTGTCTGCGGATGAGTGTGATGTTATATAGACAATTGTTAGGAGGCAAATATCTTGCGTCTTCCTCTGTAATCGACCTACTAGCTCAAGTTGGGAATAAAAGCTCATGTTTCATAAGAGCAACATAGTTAAGCTAATTATGCTAATAAGTAGTAAATTTAGCACAGGCACTTCGTA